ATCTCAGAAAAATGCCGATCAAGTAAGTCAAATTCTAGCATATAATATAGTATATTATTATTATGCAGGTTGTAAGACAAACCCCAAACTGAACTATTAAGCCTAGAGAAAAGTTTTTATGCATTGTTGTATAGTAAATAAAACCATTAAGACTTACTTGCTTCCCTTTGGCTAGTCAATGTTGGGGTTTGATTCCCTTTGGGTAAAAATAAAGAGGCTTGCACCTTCCTGAAGTTACCAATATTAATGGAATAATTTTATTTTCATATTATATTGGATGTCTAATACATGCTTTTGAGTTAATAGTTCTAATCCTAAATGATCTTGGTTCTTGAATAGTTGCTTGGAGAATTACGTGTGAAACAAAAACAAGAAGAGAAAATGCAAGAAGAATTGGATGGCTTGAAAGAATCTTTAAAAGCTGATAAGCAAAATCTTGATGCAGTTACAAGTGACCGTGATAGACTTAGATCATTATGCAATGAAAAAGAGAAGGAACTACAGGTAAAGATCAACGGGTTTTTTATCTCTTCAATATTGATGGACTTGTCTTACTTACTACTCATACAATCTAACAGGCTGCTATTCTAGAAAAAAGGAATATGGAATCAAGGATGGCTAAGTTAAGTAATGCGGTGATAGAGAACACTGCCAAGAAGGATCTTGCTAATGCTGGAAATAAACAAGTAAGATACTTTATGAAAGTGTTATTTATACATTCAATATCGTCTTCTGATTAATATTGCTGATTTTATTTTCGATATATATAAACTATGGGCTTTCTATGATACCAATAGGTGACTCAAAAGCTTGAAGATGAGCTAAAAAATTGTAAATATGAGCTACATGCAGCCGCAGAAACTATCAAAAGCTTGAAAAGTGAAAAATTGATTTTGGAACAAAAGTTATATGCACTTGAGAAGAGAAATGCTGGAGAGGTAACATAAAAAATAGAAAATTGCTATTTAAAAGAACGATAAAGATTATGGTTTTTTGTTGTAATGCAGATTAGTTCCCTTCAATGGAAACTTGAGCAAGAACGCAAAGCTGTGAAGTCTGAAGTGTATGATCTCGAAAGAAAGCTAGAAGGGTGTAGGCAAGAATTACTGGCTGCTAAGTCTACCATTTCAGCCAAGGATTCTGAGTTGGCTATGTTCCAGAATAACTTGAAGGAACTAGAAGAATTGAGAGATATGAAAGAGGTTTTAATACTATGATTTCATATTTTCTTTTTCACTGCTTCTATTCTATAATAACCAAACAGGTTCCAATGATTTGTTTATTTTCACCTTATTGTGATAATTTTAAAACATATGAACATGTTTTATGGTCTAGGACATCGATAGAAAGAATGAACAGACAGCTGCTATACTGAAAATGCAAGGGGCTCAATTAGCTGAAATGGAAGCACTTTATAAGGAAGAACAGGTTTTAAGGAAGCGCTATTTTAATGTAATAGAAGGTGGGTAATGAAAACTTTTTATACTTGGAATCAAGTCTGAGGGAATGTGTTGATATACATACATAATTGTTGCATGTTCAACCTTGGAACTTGGTTTTATTTCAGACATGAAAGGCAAGATCAGAGTTTACTGTCGACTGAGGCCTCTTAATGAAAAAGAGATTGCTGAGAAAGAAAGAGGAGTTCTTACTGTGGTGGACGAGTTTACAGTTGAATATCCATGGAAAGATGATAAGCCAAAGCAGTACATATATGACCGCGTTTTTGATGCTGATGCAACACAAGAAAATGTATTTGAGGATACAAAGGCAAGTCAATGAAGTCATAGATCATAGCATTTTCTTGCTTATGGGAACATATATATCTTTAACTCATTACCAATTTCTCTTGTATTTGCAATGCAGTATTTGGTGCAGTCTGCTGTAGATGGTTATAATGTTTGCATATTTGCTTATGGTCAAACTGGCTCTGGAAAGACATTTACAATCTATGGATCTGACAACAACCCTGGACTTACTCCTCGTGCAATCGCAGAACTTTTTAGAATTTTAAGAAGAGATAATAACAAGTATTCGTTTTCCTTGAAGGTAACATTTATAAAATTGAGATGAATAGAATTTCATTTCTCTTTTCACATTTAAAATTGTTGTCATTAGATCTCATTAGACATAAAAATTCAACAGGTAAATGAATGCATTGTAGGTGTAAAAAGTTTACATTGTCTCTTTCCAGTGGTCTTTTTTGTCTAAGAGTTTTGCAGAACTTCTTATTTTGTGTTGACTTCTCATATCAATGATGCAGGCATACATGGTGGAATTGTATCAAGATACCCTCATAGATCTTTTGTTACCAAAGAATGGAAAACATTCAAAATTGGATATCAAGAAGGATTCAACGGTAACTATATCTGTTGTCATTGCTAAAATTTCAATTTGTAAATGTGTTATTACTATTGAAAAGAATTTAAAACCAGTTATTAAGAAGGATTTATAGGTGTTTATTTGTATGCTTATTTTTTTATTTCTCAGACAGAAAGTTTGCTGACCAATGGTTGTGTTTAAAATTTCATATTCCACTTAGCCACGATTTCTATCAGTTGCTGAGTCAGGGTGCTTTTGCACCCTTGTGGAAACATCTCAAAATAAGATGAGAAAATTATAGAACTTGTGAAAACTGTCCGAAATTGTGGACTTAGAAAAATTCATACATCATGGACTAATCTCAATCATAATCATAACTGTTTTTTATTTCTTTGATTTTAGGGAATGGTAGTTGTGGAAAATGTGACAGTTTTGTCTCTTTCTACAATTGAAGAATTGAGTAGTATAATACAAAGAGGATCAGAACGGCGACATATATCTGGAACTCAAATGAATGATGAAAGTTCAAGATCTCATCTCATTCTATCAATTGTGATTGAAAGTACCAACCTACAAAGTCAGTCAGTTGCAAGGGGAAAGGTATATTTTACATGTTTGTTTCCTTTGAACAGAAATAACACATCATCTTCTAGGAATTGAACTAGAAAAAGTAGAAGACAAACAGAAAAAGATTAACTGTATTTAAAATTTTAAATACTCGTCCTTAATTCTAAATCAAGATGTGAAATAATGAAAGTAGAAAACATTTCAAGTTAGAAATGTTCTATTTTACCAAGTCTTAGCTCAAGTAGTTCGATATTTGTACTTCTCAATCAAGGATCAGGATTTGATCTCTGCCTTGAGTATGGAGTTGCAACTGGAGATACTAATTTATTTCTATAAGAGCCGACTTGGTGAAAATGAGTTATATCTCCTTATAAAACCAAAAGAGAAAAAGAAATGTTCTGTTTTTTTTATTAATTTAAAATCTGAAAAGAAATGTTATTTTTGAAAGCAATTTTCAAGAGATATTATAATAAAAGGGTTTTAGTACTTGTTTCTTCATTGTTGAGTAACTATGTGGAACTTAGATTATTTCTTGAACTCGAGGCATTTATTTTATTTTGGATTCAACATGCAGCTGAGTTTTGTGGACCTTGCTGGTTCAGAAAGAGTGAAAAAGTCAGGTTCTACTGGGAGTCAGCTTAAGGAAGCTCAAAGCATTAACAAGTCATTATCAGCTCTTGGAGATGTAATTAGTTCTTTGTCTTCTGGAGGTCAACACACACCATACAGGAACCACAAGTTAACCATGTTGATGAGTGATTCACTAGGTGGTAATGCCAAAACTCTCATGTTTGTGAATGTTTCTCCAGCAGAATCAAATTTGGATGAGACACATAACTCTCTCATGTATGTTCTTTATCATTTTCTTCTTCCATTATATTTATTTTGTTAGTGTTTCTCTTGTTCTAACATTTTTATGCTTACTTAGGTATGCATCTCGAGTGAGATCCATTGTGAATGACCCCAGCAAAAATGTTTGCTCAAAAGAGATAGCAAGGCTGAAGAAGTTGGTTGCATTTTGGAAACAGCAAGCTGGTAGAGGACCTGAGTATGATGATTTAGAAGAAATTCAAGATGAAAGACAAACTAAAGAGAATGGTAATGGCAAATAGGTAAAGATAATCCAAGATATTGGATTGATCATAATAGGGGTTCTATTATATTTTTGGAATGTTCAATGATCATTTTCCATGATCAAACAGGTTGGATATAATGTATCTTTCTAGAGGGATCTAGGTTGTATAGTTGAATTTAATGTATATAGTATCCTTTCTACTCAAGCACATACAAGTATATTCATTATTTTATACTAATATTCTTTACCTTTCCGATGTAAAAGATTATGCTAAAGCTAAAGATTGAATGCCAAAAACACGCCATTTTTTCTTCATGAATACTTAAACAGAAACTGCTTTGCCTTACTCCTGTGTATTTCTTTGTGCTTACATCTTTTATATCCATAAATACTTAGTCCAATGAGTCACTCCACAAGTAATTTTAATGATGTGTTTAACTATATTATTTAATTTGTGTCGAGTTTTACAAATTAAAGATTAATCATAATATAATAAAATAATTAATATATTGCATCAATTTTAATATTTAAATCAATGAATATTAAATAATTTTAAATTAATTTTTATCTAATAAATATGATTCTCATAATGGGAACTTGCAAGTATGAGTTTTGTGATAAAATTTAGTAAACGGATTGTCCAATGATATTAGAGTAATTTGACTTGCACATGTAAGCTAATGTTTTCTAGAGAGAAACTATTCATCACAAGTTTGGTGAAAATTATATTTAAATAAAATAATCTTTATGGTTTATATGTTGTATTTGTATGCGTAATAATTTTTTTTCTTCAAAGTTTAAGATAAAAATGACCTAGCCTATGTTATGTACACTCAATTAAACTTAATGGGAGCAGGCCAATTCGAAAGCTTCGTATAGGGCTTCAAGACCCAATGAAATAAAAAAATGGGTTATTTTGTTGATGAGTAATAAAAAGGGTGGATCCACGTGACGAGGAACCAAAAACAAATATCGCCTAGAACAGGATGAAATCATTCACAACAAGTGTTTAGAAACAAAAGAATGAAAGAAGCCATTGAAAATCCAATAGATTGGTAAAGTGTTACGGGATATTTTGTAAATAAGCAATAGAAGAGTATTTCAATTGTAATTAGTTAATGAATAGTTGGAATAACGAACTTCCTCAATTGGGAAGCTGTTAGACAGTTATAAGAACAAATAGCAGAGGACCCTCTTGAGGAGGGCATCAGTATTTTGTAATAACACTCTTGAACCTCCAATTTCAAGGGAGGTGGACTACAAGGAATCACTTAAAAACCAAGCCTTTTCAAGTAAAAATCACTAAGCCATTTTACACTTTTCTAACAAAAACAATTTTTGCACAAGAGTTAAGTGTGTGCATGGCCCCCTTCTAAATGAAAATAAACAAAGTAAAAGGTCCTAAGCAATTATATTACCAAAGCAATAAAACATGCAAGGAAAGCAATTAAAGCATGTGATAGTAGAATTCCCTAGGGTGGGAGCTTGAAGTGACCTTGGTGGTATTCAAGCCACTCCCACAAGCACTACTCGAATTACTCTAAAAAACTACGTAGTGAAAGGCCAATTACAAACCAAATAACCAAAGGAAGACAAAGGCCAAAAATACAAGTGGCCTAAAGAAATGGTGTAAAAGAGAAATGTAAACAATAAAAGTAGATCTTCTAGTCTTCAATTCTCCACCCCTTCACAAGAACTACCCAAAGTTAGCCTCTCAATGGTGTATGCACTCTTTTTGATGGTATAATTCATTCCAAAGGTCTTGGAGTCAAATCGGACAACTTCTCCAATCAATTCTTTGAAAATGTATTTGATGGGTTTTAGGAGCTTTCCACGCCTAAATCAAGAAGAAATCACCCAAGAGTACAAGAGTCCAAAGAAATAAAACTAAAAAGGCACAATTAAAAGGGCTAAACTCAAGTGGAAATAAATGTGACAAAACTTAGGAGTAGAAAGAAGACACAAAACTAAAATTAAGGCATATTAAGAAAAAGTAAGCACTCGAAAGATTAATTCCTAGAATGACACTAGAATTGCATAGCAAGTGTTTGATAAAATGTTGCACTTAACATGTTAAATTTTAAAGTCTCATTCAGCCACTAAAGCATAGTACAAATGTCCAAAGATTGACTCCAATTACTAAGGTAGGAAAAATTGTCCAAAAGTCCACAAGTCTAGCAAATGATCCCTTTTGTTTGTATTCCTTTTTTTTTTCACTTGTTTTTGGCACTGTTTTGTTTTTCTCAATGATAATGTCCAGCCACTTTTTTTATATATGTATTAATATTCCTCCTTTGCTTGTGTTTTACACTTGTGTTTGTTGATTTTGATTAGCAAAAATTTGGAGTATCCTTTAAGCAAATAGTAATGGCTTAGTGAGTCAATAATTTGAGTTTCTTTAAGCTTTATGTGCAATAAAGTCTAGCAGTAAATTAAGCACATATAATCACTTTCCTACCTTAAATTATCAAGCAAAACATGTTCTTATTAAGTGCAAATAGAAAAGGAAAGAAAGATGGCCGAATTTAGCAATATGTGCAAAGATACAAATCACACATGAATAGTTAAATATCAAGGAACATGCTAGGACTAATTAGCATGCATGATTGACTCTCTAAAGCACTCCAAGTCCTATGACCATTTCAACAAACATATATCATGCATATTATATTTTGATCATGAAAGTGTTTAGGCATGTGTATTTGGAATTTTCTTTCAAGAAGAGTTAGGGAGAATCATACTCTTATGACAAAACATAATAGATTATTAAATAAAAACACATGATCATCATTTTTCTTATCATGAACAAAATTTTCCAGCCACCCAAACTTAAACAAAATGGACGGATCCTACAAAGAAACCTAATCACCAAGATGATTCACAAGAAAAATTATGGCATGAATCAATGAACAAAACATGACACATAGACCATGAGAATATAGCATGAATATGATCTATTTAGCACAACTTCAAGACAAGCAAGAAGACACCATGACATGACCGGATTTTTAAAAGACACAAAATAGGCTAGAGATTACCCTTGAAGAACCATTGGCTCTAGATACCACATGATGCCAACCCTCCTTGCATGGATTGAATTAGGAACATCAAAGAAGGAAAATCGGACTCCTTGGATCATAGAACTCAAGGTTTCTAGCCTTGGTGATGGAGATGGGAGAATGGTGTTTATGGAGGCTAGGTGTTTGATGAAATGCTAAGGTGGTACTCTAGGGTTTTGGCTCACTTCATTGATGGATGAAGGCCACGCCTAAAGGTGAGAACACTCACGGTGAAGATGAGAAGGATAGGTGGCCGAAATGACCAAGGGGGCTAAGGAAAGAATATTAAGGTTCAAAGGCTCTCTTAATATCATAAATTCCAAAGTATTTACAAGGTTGCTAGCCTAGGGTATTTATAGAAGGGAGGATGCATTTAGGGTTACATTTGAGAGTGTTTGGCTGAAAAATGAAAGCCAAATGCACTTCAAAAAAAAAAGGAATACAAACAAAAGGGATCATTTGCTAGACTTGTGGACTTTTGGACAATTTTTCCTACCTTAGTAATTGGAGTCAATCTTTGGACATTTGTACTATGCTTTAGTGGCTGAATGAGACTTTAAAATTTAACATGTTAAGTGCAACATTTTATCAAACACTTGCTATGCAATTCTAGTGTCATTCTAGGAATCAGTACAGCAGTGGCCATTACCACAGAATCTGAAACAGTTGAGGGGATTCCTAGGATTAACCGGTTATTATAGAAGATTTGTAAAAGGGTATGGGGGAATTGCTAAACCCTTAACAGATATGCTTAAAAGGGACAGTTTCCTTTGGTCGGATACTGCAAAACTGGCTTTTCAGCAATTAAAAAGAAAGCTTACCGAGGCCCCGGTTTTGGCTTTACCTGACTTCTCTAAGCTTTTCATAGTAGAAGTGGATGCTTCGGGTTTGGGAATTGGAGCTGTCTTGATGCAAGACCAGCACCTATAGCTTATATAAGTAGACATTTGAATCAACAACAACAATCTTATTCTACTTATGAAAAGGAGCTGTTAGCGGTGGTTTTGGCTGTCCAAAAATGGAGACATTATTTGCTGAATACCCATTTTATAATTAGGACTGATCATAGAAGCTTGAAGTTTATTTTGGATCAGAAATGGACTACTGCATTTCAGCAAAAGTGGTTAGTGAAATTAATGGATTTTGATTTCTCAATTGAATATAAACAGGGACATGAGAACGTAGCTGCTGACGCGTTGTCTCGAGTTGAACCTGTTGCTTGTGAAGCTTTAAATGTTCATCAAGTGGTTTCGGAATGGGTGCTCAAGATTAAAGCCTCTTGGAATTCAGATCCTGCAGTTCAGAAATTGATTTCTGAATTACAAGATACCTCTGTATCTCATCGACATTATTCTTGGAAGGATGGTGAATTGAGGAGGAAGAGGAGATTAGTTGTGGGTAAAGATGATGCTCTAAGACAAGATATTCTTCTTTATTTTCATGCTTCTGCAGTAGCTGGTCATTCAGGCAGAAATGCAACTCTACAAAGACTTAAATCTGCTGTCTATTGGAAGGGAATGAGTAAGGATGTTAGGAGCTTTGTTCAAAAATGCGGTGTATGCCAAAAGTGCAAATATGAGACTAAGGCTTCCCCTGGGTTATTACAGCCATTGCCTATTCCAGATCGGGTTTGGCAGCACATCACCATGGACTTTGTGGAGGGCTTACCCAATTCCTTTGGTAAGCAAGTGATTTTTGTGGTGGTAGACATGTTGAGCAAGGCAGCTCATTTTATGGCTCTTTCTCACTCTTATTCTGCTGCTGATGTTGCTCAATCATTCCTTGATCATGTCTTCAAGTTGCATGGATTTCTAGATTCTATCACTAGTGATAGGGACTCTATCTTCATTAGCCAGTTTTGGCAAGATCTTATGGCTTTTGAGGGTGTACAGGTACAACTTTCCACAGCTTACCACCCACAGACGGATGGCCAACCAGAAATTGTTAATAGGTGTTTGGAAACCTATTTGAGGTGTATGTGTGCAGACTCTCCTTCTCATTGGTCAAAGTGGTTGCCCTTAGCTAAATGGTGGTATAATACCACATTCCACAGCTCCATTCAAGCTACTCCTTATGAGGTAGTATATGGCCAGCTTCCACCTGTGGATCTGCCTTATTTAGCAGGAGCTTCTAAAGTTGAGTTAGTGGATAGGAGCCTTGTGAGGAGGGAGGAAATGCTGAAACTCATCAAGTTTCACATGAAGAGAGCCCAAGATAGAATGAAACAGATGGCAGATAGACATAGATCAGAGAGACAGTTCAACATTGGGGATATGGTCTATGTCAAATTGCATCCTTACAGACAAATTTCTGTAGCTGCCAAAAGCAACGTGAAACTGTCACCCAAGTTCTATGGGCCATTTCAGGTGTTAGAGCAGATTGGTGCTGTGGCCTACAAGATAAAGCTGCCTGCGGGTTCAAGCATACATGATGTGTTCCATGTATCTCAATTGAAGAAGCATGTGGGTGATGCAGTAACTTCTGCAAGTTTTCCAAGCTCTGTAGAAGGAGATCCTCTAATAAAGGAACCGGAAGCCATTTTGGATCGCATGACAGTCAAGAAAAGAGGTCGAGCTGTTACCAAAGTGTTGGTGAAGTGGAAGCATAGCTAGCCAGAGGATGCAACCTGGGAATTCTTTTTTGATTTGAAGCAGAAATACCCTCACTTCCAGCCTTGAGGACAAGTCTGAAGCTAAGGAGGGGAAATTGTTACGGGATATTTTGTAAATAAGCAATAGAAGAGTATTTCAATTGTAATTAGTTAATGAATAGTTGGAATAACGAACTTCCTCAATTGGGAAGCTGTTAGACAGTTATAAGAATAAATAGCAGAGGACCCTCTTGAGGAGGGCATCAGTATTTTGTAATAACGCTCTTGAACCTCCAATTCTCTCTAATAAGATTCGGATGCTTTTCTTCTTTGGCCTCCCTAATCTGTCTCTGTAATTCCTCGATTCCCATCCTAGAATTACCATAACATAAATAGAATGAAAGAAGAGAGTAATCGACATAATAAAAGAATGTTGGAACCTGGAAGGAAAGGGATTTAACCAAGGGCCCATTCATAGTAAGATTAGAGGAATTAAGATCTCCAATGGGAGAAACTCTAAAGAGTTGCTTCGTGCATCAATTCCAGTGTCTGGTAATTTTTACTGTACTACATCAGCATTAAGCAACTTTGTTTTATTTTTATTCAAATGGTGAGTTTCTTCAAGCAACTCCAAGTAATTCAATATTTTATAATTTTTTAATATTGAATTTCATTAAAATTATGGTACCTTAAAATTAAAATTTTATTTTTAATTATTGCATATCAAGTAACATTTTTTTAATTTTTCAAAAAAGTAAATAAATTTAATATTCAAAATATTTAATAATTTTTTAATTTAAAAATAATGACAATTACATAACATATAAATAAAAATGTAACAATTGAAATGCATATTAATATAAAATTAAAAGTAATAACATTGAAAAAAAGTCATGACAATGAAAAATATAATATTCTACATTAAATTAATTTTTGTAATTTTTTTTTACTCTAAATCGTTGTCAAATATGTTCAACCAAATCCGCATAAAGTTGTAGGTGCTTGTCTCTGTTTTGAACCATTGCTCTCCTATCAAAGTATGTAGCTTTGAAACTAGGATGGACACCAAAGATACGTTCAATGTTGACATTTCATTTCCAATAATATCATAATCAACATGAATATGATAAGTGTGTTGTTTGTCCTCGACGATCATATTATCCAATATGATACATGCATAAATTATATTCTTCATGGTATTGTTGGAGATTGTTGAAATGATAAAGATCATTGAAATGACAAGAAGGCTTCTCAAAAAGTTTTAGTTTTGATGATATTGTATAAATGATGTTTGAGCCTATGTAAAAGGATATTGTATTGATTGATTAGATATAGGCTTGTGTGTGTGTGTGTTTGTTTATGTTTGATGATGTATGCTTAATTCAAGAATCTGTCAAGCTTTTAAAATCTAAGAATTTATTTATTTTAGTATTTCCATGAGTAAACATGGAGTAATAGATTATTTTGAAAAATGTAATTTACTACTAAGTGTTTAAACATAGAAATATTACTTGATTCAAAACAAGAGTTTTAAAGGTAACTTTGTTAATCAAATTACCATTCAGGGTAATAGATTACCAAACCTATTACTAGAAAAGGATATTCAAATGTCCTCTGTGTTAATAAATTACTAAGCCTGTTACTGAACATATTTTTAAAGAACCCTCTGAGGTAACAAATTACCAAAATTGGTAATAGATTAAAACAGAGTCTCTTGCTTGGAATTAGGCTAAAAAAATGAAGTTATCATCGTGTTAATCGATTACCAATATAGTTAATCGATTACCACAAAGTGATATGCAAATCTGGGACTTTTCAAGCTCGAGTTAATCAATTACCACTTGGGATAATCGATTACCCTGGACAGTTTTCATGTTCTGATTCAATTAAAAGAGTTGGTAACAAAGTATCTACATGGGTAGTAGATTACTATTGTTATTACTTTTTATAACTGAATTACGTCTTGCACTCTATAAAACCAATCTTTTTAAAATTTAAAAAGAGACCCAAGAGAAATTTTGAACTCTTAAGAAAAGTAACATTTTCATAAACAAGAAAAAAGTTTTACAAAAGAAACTTTTTGAAATTTCAAGAAGTGCAAAGATAGGACATGAATTCTTGAAAGAAATTCAAGAACTGGATTCAAGAGTGAAAAATCAACATCTTCACAGAACTAGGTGATATTACTTTGATCTTTGAACCTGTATTTTCGTTTTTACTGTTGTATCTCTTGAGATAGGGTATCTCAACAAGAGATGGTGAAATCTTGAGAAGGGTTTCTCAAGTAATTTCTGTGGGATACAAAAATTTTGATTGTATTCAATCTTGGGGTGTCAAGATTGATGGTTGTTTGATATTCTTGTAATATTGTGTGTGCAAGGTGTTTGTAAACAATATTATAGTGAATGATCTTTGATTTGGTGGGGTGCTAAATCAACGAAAACTAGATGTAAGCCAAGTGGGTGGCTGAACCAGTATAAATTTCTGTGTTCTTCATCTTCTAACCCTTATCTTTAAAGAATCTTGTTGAATTCTTGTTTTAAAGGTTTTAAAGATTTGGAAAAATGAAATTTCAGTTATAGTACCAACTCTGATCTTTATTCTTGTAATTGAATCTGATTAAAGGGAAGGTAATATAAAATCAACCTTGATTACAAGTGATTGATTCACTACTCATACTTTGATACTCTGCTACGTCAGTAATAAACCTTGTAATCTATTGCTGTTTGTTACTCAAATTGCATAAAGGTTGTATTTTATATTTCTTGAGAGGTTATTTTTCAAGAATTGTGTAAAAGAGAGCATTCTTAAGATAGAATCTATTCAATCCCCTTTCTAGATTCTAATTCACTGGGACCAACAGGTATGAGCATCCCAAAAATGTGACAGGCCATAAATAATTATAAATTGCGATTGAAGCACCCCAAATGCATGTTCTACATCCTTTCTGATCGACTCTTGTTGTTTTGCAAATAATTTTCGCCTTTCCCCTTTTGGCATTGAAATGGTCTTCACAAATGTGACAAATTCTGGATAAATGCCATCCGTCATATAGTATCACATAACATATTGGGTTCCGTTGACGGTGAAATTCATCACAAGTGCACGAACCAACATAACTTTGTTAAACACATTAGATGCATTTAACATAGTAATGTCATTGTTTGACCCTATAATACCAAAAATTCCATGCCAAATCCATAAATCTTGTGATTCAACTGCTTCAAGAATAATTGTCGGGTTTGCATGATCATCTCGACAAAATTGATCTTTCCATGCAACAGGACAAATTTTTCATTCCTAGTGCATACAATCATTTGAGCCTAACATACTTGAAAAGTCACGCGTTGCTCCCATTTGTAGAAGCCATTCTATGCCTTCGTTATTGGGCTTCCTTAGGTACTCATCCCCAAATATTGCACAAATAGCTAATACAAATCATTGCAAGAATTCCATAGTAGTGCTTTCACCAATGCGAATATATTCATCTACTCTATCAACAAGTGAGCCATAAGCTAAAATACGAAGAGCAATAGTGCACTTTTGTAATGGTGATAGGCCTTTTCTATGTGTTGCATCTACCCTCATTCGAAAGTACTCATCGTGATTAGCTAGGGCTGTTACAATTCTAAAAACACATGTTTTCACATATGAAACCTTCTTCGAAATTGAGTCTCTATATACATCGGATTGTCGGAGAAATAGTCATTGAACAATTGATCATTACCTTCCTCTCAATTATGATGTACCTGTAACAGCCCGATTTTCACAGATTGTTTGAGGGCCCAAAGGCCCAATAAGGGTGATTTAGTAGCCCAGAATGGTTCGTTCCCAAATTGGAACGGGTCGTTCCAAACTACTAAAACAAGAGTGATTTTGTAGCTTAGAACGGGCCTTTCTAAAACTGGAACGGGCCGTTCCAAAATACAAAAATTTTCTACAAATTTTAGATGGGAATGGGTCGTTCCCAAATTGAAACGGGGCGTTCCAAATCACCAAAAATGCCTATAACCCTAATTGAGAACGGGTCATTCCAGATATGGCAGTTATGGGTTAAATGTAACCCCATAACGGTCCGTTCTGGTTATGAATTTTACACATGCCGTCAAAGTCTAGAACGGGCTGTTCCGGATTTGACACTCCCAAAAAGCACACCTTTCAGTTCTGGCTTCTTTCAGTTATGACTCCTTTATTCTACATTCACTTCTTTTTCTTCTACACTCTCTAAAGACTGAGGGGCACTTAGAGGAGGAGACCAAGGAGATCTTTGTTTTAGTTTCAGCTATTATTTATCCAAGTATGGGGAAAAAGGGGATTATTTGTATGCAGAGTTACATGAGGGAATTGGGTAGAGGAAGAGTCCCTTAATATTATGAGTAATTTTATAATTATTTCTGTTTAAGGAATTAATGATCCCATTAGATTCTGTATGTGTTGAGGATTAAAAATATATATTTAATTTGTAAGAATGATGATCTGGGAGAGAGAACGAAATTGTAGAAAAGTGCTTGTGAGTTAGGTTTTGGAATAATTGGGAGTTTTATCGTTTATGTTAAGATTATGTTAAATTGGTAATTCCATTGATTATTATATTAAATTATGAATGTTATTGTTATATTACTTGTTAAGAATTGATGATCTAGATGTGAATTGCTTGAGGGGTGTGTAAACCCTTATTTTGTTGGACTTATCTGTTGTGTATATGGAATTGAGCTATGAGATGAGATGTTGTATGGATGTGATTATGATTGTGATTGTGGTTCCTCACATCAATGACCAGGGATGGCACGACCCCTAGATAAGTGATGCTACAGGGAGGGCGTGACCCTGGCATGGTGTGGGATGAGTAAGACAATTAATACGTATCACTTATGTCAAATATGGCAGCCCTGACATAGGGTTAATTACAAGATTTGTGTGGATTGTGATGTGATTGTAGTTCCTCACGTCAATGACTAGGGATGGCACGGCCCCTAGGTAAGTGATGTTACAGGAAGGGCATGACCCTAGCATGGTATGGGATGAGTGAGGCAATTAACCCGTATCACTTATGTCAGTTGTGGCGTGGCCTTGACATAATGTTAATTGTAAGATTTGTGTGGATTGTGATGGATTGATGTAATTGTGAATTGAGATGTGAAGATGATGAATGATTGAAAAATTATGTTATATATAAATTCTTGTAAATAATTCATTAAGTAATGAGTAAAGATGAGATTATGTTGTGTTTTTCTTATGTGCTTTACATATAGATGTTTTCTTTTCTCACCGTACAATTTGTGGATGTTTTAGGTGAGGAAGATCTGGCTATAAGTGGCATCTAAAATGCCAACAATTGAATTATGGGTATGCTTTGATATTGTGACATCGGGGCAGAGGAGTTCTAGGACATGGATTTTTTTATATAGATTTGGAGTTGTATTTATTATTTTGTAAACTCTTAAGTTTTACTTTCCAAGTTTTATTTTCAATCATTTTGGATATTGAAGTACATTTGTGAAGGTTTTTATGTGAACCCTTTTACTAACGTTGAAATTTATTTGTTAGTTTTATTATTACAATATATGTGTTTGGGTAATAAGGGTGTCACAGTTCCACCCTTTTTCT